TTCTCATAGCTGGGACTTGGAAAACCTCACTAATTGATTCTACATCAAATCTATGCTGGATTCTGAACATGCCGTTATGATCTAACAAATCAAAAAACTCATGCGGAAGTGGCTTTAGCTTCTCAGTGCAGTGCTTTAACCCGCTGCGCCACCAGGGAGGGCCCGAGGTACTAACTTTTTACTAGAGCAAATAATACTATGAGTGTTTTTGTTGCTATCTGTTAATGAACATTTTAAAAAATTACTCCCTTGGATAAACGGTAGGTCATTAAGGTTTATGTTGCCAAATTGCCTTGCAAAAAGTTGTTCATTTTATACTCCCAACAGTAGTTTATGAGTTTCCACTTCCCCCATATCCTTGCCAAAACAGCATTTAAAAAATCATTTCCAGGACCTTCCTGATGGCACAGGGGTTAAAGACAGCACTATTAAGCTATTATCAGGCCAGTGAGGTAACCCATATGGTGCAGCAGACCTCTCCTGATAAATCAGACTGGTCTACTCCCCACTTTGTCTTGGGTGAAGCCTCTCACCGACCCTGCACCTCTGGCCTGTACCCCAGTTCTGTATGCATAAATAAATAAATCTTAAAAAAAAAAAGTTACAGTGATTAATACCCTGTGACAGTAACATTTTGGAGGCCTTGGTGTCTAAATTAATTTGGCATTCTGCAAAATAAAACCTAATTATTTTATTCAACTTTAGAAAACACATCTTCCAAAATGAGCAGGACAACTTCACTACAAGGGAGAGATGAAAAGATAAACTTTGCAAATTAACTGAAAGTCCCCAATAAAGAAGTAGTACTAATGAGTGCCTTCTCTTTTCACCAAAATGAAAAAGGCCAACAACAATTTACAAAAGTTACAAGTTGCTTACATTTCAAAAAGTCCACCTGTGGAATTGATGGCTATACACTAAAACAATAGCTCCCACCCAGTAAGTGCGGGCTCAGTAGTGCTCTCCAACACATGCTTAAATAGATGCTCAGACCTAGGACTTTCCATTTATGGCAAACATTTATCAGGCACTAGCAAAACATGACCTTGATAGTTCTTAGTGCAGGACTGAGCACGATGGTGCTATAATTCGAGTTTTTCTTCACTAAAATGGTTCACATATAAGGAATATTCTTGTAGGAAACAAAGTGCATTGCTTACCTATCACTACTAGGTTATTTCAGTGATCTCTCAGGCCTGCTAAACTATGTTAAGAACAAGGTTAAATGTCAGCTCCAAGGAAACCTGCTTAATACTGTCTAGCCACGGGCCTCCCTGGTAGCCTAGCACGGTAACTGCAATGGCCTGAGTTCAATTCCAGCCAAACAGCTCACACACGTATGGTTCAGAGAGCTAACATACGTATGGTGCAGCAAACCTGTCCCACCTGCTATTCCCCATGGCAGTGTATTTCAGTCAATCCGCCTGTTCTGCTCCTCACTGTCTCTGGTGAATCCTCCCACCCCTTGCACCTTTGGCCTGCATCCCAATTCTTCTACTCAAATAAATTAAAGTGCTGGGCCTCCCTGGTAGAGCAACAGGTTAAGACACAGCACTATGAAGCTATCAGCATGAGTTCCATCATCACTAACACACATGGCACAGTAGATCTCTCCTGACCTGCCCCATGCTCCCCACTGTATCTCTGGTGGACCCTCTCACCACCACCACCACCCCGCACCTCTGGCCTGTACCCCAGTTCTTGTGAACAAAAATAAGTCTTTTAAAAAATGGTCCTGATGACAAACTAAGGAGAAAGTTTCTTTCTTTTCTTTTTTTAAAGAGACTGATTTATTTACACATAGAAGACTGGAGTGCAGGCAGAGGTGCAGGGAATGAGAGGGTTCACCAGAGACAGATTAGGGAAGATAATAAGTGGATTTACTGAAATGTACTGCAGAGGGGAGCAGTGAAAAGAGCCAGGAGAGGTCTGCCAGCCATATGCGGGTCAGCTCCCTGGCAGGGGATAGAACTCAGGCCAGGGTGATAGCACCGAGACTTAACCCCCTTATCACAGAGAAGCCCAGGAGAAAAGTTTCTAGAGTTTACCAATTTTCATGCTAAGAATCAACAAGCTTAAATGGGTTTCACTATTGGCTCTATTTTGAGACAATGGTTGGCATAAGTACTCAATAAGTATTAATCAATTTGACTGAAATGAAGGGGAAAGTAAAATGGAGCTGTGTTCTAGGTCAAAGTAGAGATGGGGATACAAAGGCACGCAGTGTGGTTGGTTGGTGAACAAGAAGCAAAAATCCTCTGGCTTTCAACCAGAGATATGTTCTTACAAAGAATAGTAGCAGTAATAATAAACTATGTTCTGAGATACAACAAGCGCACAATGAAAGAGCAGCTCTGACCATTTTGAACATTTCCAAGACACTTCCCAGTTAAAGAAAGCAACCACCCCTGTCATCCATTATGGTTTATCCATTATTGTACTAGCCCAACTGAAATATTTTTCTTTTTCTTTCCTTCTACGGGGTAGAGGGAATAGTACTTAAAGAACAAATAGGACTTCCCTTCATTAGTTTAAGGAACTAAAGCAAAGTCCTTAGATCGG